TGTGATTATGTGTATATTGTTGTATGTATGGGTATTTTGGGGGAACTCACTAAGCTTCGGGCTTACAGTTTTGGATTTTGTTTCAGGTACTTCAGATGATCGCGGGAAGGCGAAGGCGTGATCGTGCATCTCTTCTCATTTTTATGATCGTGATTTCTGGGATACTCTGATGTCTAAACTATTTTGAAAACACTTTGTAATAACTTAATGGTTTTTATTGGTTGAAAAAGTTTTAAATTGGCCTGAATTTTATGGATGTTACATTAAATTTAATAAATTAAGTATAATATGTTAAAAGTTAAAGTCATACCTTTATAAGTAGAAGTAAAGATATTATTTTAATACTGAAATTTAGTTTATTTATGGTTACACTTTAGGTTTGATATTTATTTCACCTTATTAACCAAATTATAATCATTATTAGAAAGACACTATAATTTATCACTTTTAACTATTTACAAAATATTATTTGGGTTGTTTAAGTTAAACTAAAATTTATATTTAAGTTGACCCTATAATATTATATTTAAATTAATAATTTAATTATTTTATACAAATTGTTCAAAAGTTATAGTTTTAAAATGATAATGGTTTACATCCAACAATATATTAAAATTAATAAATTAAGCATAATATGTTAAAAGTTAAAAAACATAACTTTATATGTGGAAGTAGATATACTTTTTAATATTGAAATTTAGTTTATATATGATTACATTTTAGTTTTGATATGTATTTAACCTTATTAACCAAGTTATAATCATTATTAGAAAGAAAGTGAAAAGTCATGGGAATTTCAAATGAATGTGGTGAAAGGAAAAATGTTTCCTTTATAATATAGTATGATATGATAATATGATATATATATATATATATATATATATATATATATATATATATATATATATATATATATATATAGTGTCTTTTCCTTCACCGCACCTAGAAATTCAAGAGATCAAATGTGGTATGCTCTTTCAAATCTTCAAATATGTAATTCAAAACATTAAGGGGGAAAGCACATTCACTGTCTACAGGACCAACTCAAATTAAATTGATTAAATCAAACCTTCAATACCAACCATATGAGACCCAACTTTCTTGACAATGAAAGATCAACCCAAATCAAGATTGAAATCTACCCTAAACGAGGAAAAGGAAAACATAATTTGATTTTGGATATGTTCAAAAACTAAACAAGAAATTGATACTCTTTATAAAAACAAATCTTGAAACGTGTAAACTTATAACATCTAATGTAGGTAGCTTGAGGAATGGTTATAACAAAAATTTGAATAATGGTTAGAACAAAAATTTGAAACATATAAGGGTGTTTCGGATTTCATTTTGAACCTCAAAATGACTTTTAGGCAAAAAAAACTTATTGACTTATGGTGGTGAGAAAGTGAGTTTTTTAACAAGTGTTTGGATTAGCTTTTGTGGTGGGAAAAGTAAATAAGTTGTTTTTTAAAAAATGTTTGTCGTAGCTTATACATGTTTTAAGGGTATATGTCTTTTACACCCCAAAAAGTTAGAAGGAGTATTGAAAACTCAGAAATACTAACTTATTGAAATCTCATTTTTGAAGGGTTGATGAGAAGTTATTTTAAAGTCATTTTCATATTAGCAATCATTTTTTTTGACTTATTGACTTTTCGAAAAGTCAATAAGTAGTTTGTAAATGAAATCTCAAACACCATCTAAAGCTTAAATCTCATTCCACCTAATAATGGTTGGTAATTGAACTAAATCGGAGCCTGTTTGGCTAATGCTTACCCCTCATATGACCTAAAATTACATAAAGTGAATTTTTTTGGTACAAAATAAAATGAGATATCTGATTTTAGAGCTTCAAGTTCAAGAGTTGTGAGATTATATAATCGAAAGGTAAATATGGTGGTGGTGATGATGGAAAGAGCAAATCACGATGATAGTTGGTGGTGAAGGAGGGTCAGATGAAGCATAAAAAGGGTTAATGGTGGAGGTTGGCAACATATTTGGTGGAAGAATAGAGCGGTGGTGGTTTAGGGATGGGACATGGTAGGGAGAAAGGGTGGGCAACATGGGTGATTATTGGTAAAGAAACATATAGTAGTGGTCGGCCAATCGAGAACCGATATTGAAAGAGTGGCATTGAGAGAGATAGATAGAGAGAGATAGAGAGAGAGAGAGGGGAGATAGAGAGAGATAAAGTGATGTAAGTGAGAGAGAGTCCTTTTGTTGTTGCTAGAAGGATCTTCAACTAGCTCTACCATGAAAGAGGTGAACTTGAAGGTGGTCTTTCATGGAGTATAGTAGAACCCTTTTGCAATTTTAGATTCATAAGGACCAAAACTATAAAAATAACAAAATATAGAGACAAAATTTACAAATTCCTCTAAATTATAATATCACATAACTAAATTATAAATTAATAAAACAAAGATATAAATGTCTTTTTACATGGATCATCATCGATTTCTAATGATATTAAGTACCAACGATGTGATAAGGGTAAACTATAAGGCAGTGGCCGAGCCAATGTCAAAGTAAAAGGGTATCCAGAATTTTTTTTGTGCCATATACAATAAGAAAGATAATAAAAACCGCAACTTCATTAGATATAAAGTTCAACTTCCATAACAAAGTTACATTTTAAAGTTCACCTCTTCGCTCTTTCATTTTACGAAAACGAGTAATTACATTTTCAGTCTTAACATTCTCTAGTGATTCCTTTTCTGCACTACAAACCAAAGCACTATTCATAAAATCGACACCTATTCTTTAAGCAAATCGGTATTCAAGAACTTCATTGCAGAAAAACACCGTTCAACGGTTGCGTTTGCGAAGGGAAAAACCAAAGTTAGTTTTAATAATCTATAAACCAAAGGAAAAGAGAGGTGCTTCCTGGTTTCCACCAACAAATGAGAGAGGTCTGTAATTCCCTTCAAGTTGAAAAATCTCTCATCATGGGGCAAAAAGTGATAATTGATATCAAGTTGCCCATTAAGTTGCACCCTTTTCTGAATCGTCAAAATTGTTTTTGTATATCTCGCTTAACTTTAACAACTTTGTATTATCAAAACTAGAAAGTGAGTCACAAAGACTCAAAGCCACCATGTTCTCCATTAACTCCGTGCCAACTTCACTAAATCTATCCCCAAATTCTTGGATTTGCATATCCAAAATCGTGTTAAAAATCACAACTTCAAAATGATTTGGATTAGTGTTATTGGTCCTACGCTTGCGTGGGGTAACATAATATTCCGACATGTCTACAATTCCAATACTATGCTTTTCACAAAAAGCACATACCTTCTTCCAAATTTGTGGGAACCCATCTTTTCTAAAAACTAGCAATGCTTTCTTTGTCCCTTTTACTAACGAAGCCGCTTCCAAAAGGAAGATCATTCAAATATGCCCTCCTTATTTCATCCCTTTGATTAGGATTATAAGATGTAATCTTTGACCTATCCCCCGGGTCCGAAGGAAGATCATTCAAATCAAAAGATTGTGTCACTTTTGGTTTTGGCATTGGTTGATTAGTTTGTGGAACTTGAGTAGGTTCATTAGATTGTGTTTCTTGTGGTTTTGGCATTTGTTGATTAGTTTGTGGAACTTGATTGCTTTCATTAGCCTTATTTTTTTTGGAAGTTCCTTCACCATTGTTGTCTCCAACATTTAAATGTCTTTTGAAAAAACTATTAATAGCAACCTACAATCAAAATATATGAACTATAAACTTGATTTCAAGTTTCAACAAATGACAACCTACTAAATTAAATTATCAATTATCAAGATATATCAGCTATAATCTTGATTCCAAGTTTCAACAACAAATGAACAAATAGCAATTTACAATCAAAATATATCAACTATAACTTGATTTCAAGTTTCAACAACAAATAATCATTAACTATTAACCCTAAGTCCCTAATTTAACAAAGTTAATTGTTAATTTCTAATTTTTCAAACATAATGACAAAAAATTGGAATTTAAATTAACCTAAATACATAATAGGATTGAGTATTTTGGTTATACTAACTTGTTTCATTATGATGGAGGAGCCAAGGAGGAGGTGGCCGGAATTCTCCCTCCGGCAGGCTGCTGGCGACAACAATTGAGAAGGGCTGCGATCATGCGATGTGTTGATGTCGACGATCATAGGAAGTGGCAGAAGACAAGTCGACTTCGACAATTGAGAGAAGTCGACAATCAAAGATTACGTCATTTTTCCCATTAAACTATTGAGTTTAATACCTCTTTGTTTCAATAAATTAATTGGTGTAGACTTAAAAATTTTGGACCATTTAGGCTAGTTTGTATTTTGAACCATTTAGAAATATATCAAATTTTTTAGGATATCCTGATTTTTTTTCCGATATAAAACCACAACATAAAACGAAATTTTCGGAAAAAATTAACTCTACTAATTTTTTTTTGATGGGTATCCCACAACCCATAATGGATCCGCCTATGCTATAACACCTTGTTCCCGAGTTTTTTCGCAGATTCATTAAAGGAAAGGAAAGGAAAATTTTGACAAAAAGAAAGGGAGGTGAAGGAAAATATTTATTATTCCGTGTTCCCGAGTTCGAAGGAAATGAAAGGAAAATTTTAAGTTTTGTGTTCCCGAGTTAGGAGGAAAAAGAAAATAAAACTTGAAATTTTTACTTCCCCTCCCTTTCTTCCCAAATCCGCCAAATTTGGGAGGAAAATTTGGAAGGAAAATATGGCTCCAAAATTTTTCCCCTCCCCTCACTTTCCTTCTATTAATGAAACTCGGGAACACGGTTTTCCTTCGCCACCCCTCACTTTCCCTCCGTATCCTCCCATTTCTCTCCTTAAGTAGAACTCGGGAACAAGGCGTAAGGGACTGACGTTGTAGCAATTGTTTTTGGACTAACGTTGCCTATACCCAATACTAGAGTGACCATTTATGTAATTTAGTTTTACATTAATTTCGATAGTCATAAATAATATTAAATGTTTGAACTTGTAGCTGCGTTTGAATCTTAGACCCAAGCTAAAGCGTGTGATTGGCGCCCCCCCTCTATCTCCTACCCTCCAATGCCTCCTTGTTCCTTGGTCAAATTCCCAATACCCAAACCACACATTCTTATTCCTTCATTTAAGCGTAACTGTTGCCATTTTCTCCATGATCTTCAACCTCCGAAAACCCGACCCCAGAACAATTCAAGCTCTCTAAGCAACCATTTCGATGAACAAAGTCAAGTTCGCTGCCACATACCCATCTCTCCCCCTTGGAATTTTGCTTTCTTTTCTCTCGAATTAGGTCAGATTTCAATCGCGTTTTAATCTTTCTGAAAACCCTTTTTGAATTTTCGCAGTCGTCATTTTCATCCTCTTTTACGGGTGATTAGTCCATTCGAGAATATGGTTTTTGTCAAATGTGCCATGAATTTCATTAGCCCCTTTTGCTGCTGTTATGTCTTTGTTTCCTCTGTTTTCTCGCTTCAGTTCGAATTCACCGGTTGTGATTAAATGGAACACTTTTTTTCCTAAAAAGAAATTACCCTCTTCCATTTTACAACCATGGATTCAGTTCTTGAATTTTTATACCCAAAATTGATTCTTTTCGTGTTGGGTTTCTGGTCTTCTGTCGCCACCTATTTGCTTCACCTGATTCGTTACTTCACAAGGTATTATGTATATTTCGTTTACTTTCTCTATATTGAAAACCAAAACAAAAGAAATTGCGTCTCATCATACGATGTAAAGTTTGATTGTGTTCATTTTTTTTGTATTTCAAATTACAGAATTACTAGCGGTTCTTCAAAGGGTGTATCAAATGATTTGCGGGTCGTATCAACAGAAGCCATTGAAGCGAGTTTAAAGGTAACTGAATCGAACATGGAATTTGAAGAAAAACAGGAACTTTTACAGTTTTTAAGTATAGAAAATGATGATGTTGAAGAAAAAGTAGACGAAGAAGAAGCTCCTGAGTTTTCATTTACCTTTAAATTCCCTACCTTTGAAGAATTCAGTAAAAACCAGAAAGATTTCTCTCATTTGCTTAATTTGGTAGAACCCTTACCTGAATGCATTGATCCAATCGAGGTTTCACTGGAAGTTTCTAAAATTGATACAAATTCGGACGATGGGTATGTAACAATGTATTACTACTACAATATAATAAAAATGTTATTTTTTTTTAATTCTTATTAGATTACAAATTTTATTTCCATCTAGGTTGTCAGATAAAGAAGATCAAACAAAAGATGATTTTGAAGATCAAGGAGTGAATGATGAAACAATGGTTGAAAGTTCAAATGAACAAAAGATTGAGGAAGAAAAGGAGCAAGAAGAAATCGATACTTCCATGGATGATGAAAGTTCAATAAGTTCAAGAAATCTTGATTCACCCACAAATGATCTACATTTCGATGATGGGTTTTTGTCAGATCTAGACTTCGAATTACAATTTGATGAAAAAGAACAAGTCAACTGGTCAAAACCCGAGTTTTTATCGGAGAATGATTTTAGTACAAAATCAAGAAATGTAAAGGGGAATGAAAACGAGAAAAGTGCATCGAATGATACGACAAACAAGTTGGAATCTTTATGGGAACATCAGGAATTGATTGAGCAATTAAAAATGGAGATCAAAAAGGTCAAAGCTACAGGACTTCCGACAATTTTCGAAGAATCAGAATCGCCTCCAAAGATAATGGAAGAATTGAAGCCATGGAAGATTGAAGAAGTGTATCAAAATGGAGGGAAGATAAGTGAAGTTCATAAGTTTTACAAGAGTTATAGAGAAAGAATGCGTAAATTCGACATCTTCAATTACCAGAAAATGTACGCTATAGGTAACATTACTTTACCTTTTTCTTCTATTTATTTCCCTACTATATTATTACTTGCTAATTTGATTATTTTTATCCGTAATAATTAGTAAATAAGAATAATAATCAATTCATTATTAACCCAAACAATGAAAACTGATTATTGTTTTTCAAGTTGTAATATACAGTTTAAAAGCTAATCGAACATATGTGCTGTTTTTAATTTTTATTTTTTTTATTAAGTTTTGTATGGATAAGATATATTTTTATGAATATAAGTAAATAACCACAACTCTTGTTAGTTTATTAAAAATCTGATTATTTAAATGATGAAATAATATAGTTGAAGTAGATTATTTTTAAATTGAAGTTTTGGCTCTCATAACTATTTAATTAAGTATATAAAGTTATGGGTATGTCTCATTTTCGTTTTTAATCAAGAAAAGGTAACCCTAATTTTTGGTGAAGTAAAACACTAATAATGAAAACTTGAAGGGTATTTAGAAATGCATTATATGTTGCTGTTGCCTAGTGTCGCATCCATTCTTCCATGATAAATAATTACAAAAAATGAAATGAAAATGAAAAAGAAAATGAAAAAGGACCCATTTTATCTGGTTAGGTTGGGTTTAAAGAGCAACACAAAAACTGTGAAACTTTTCAGTTTTCAAGGTTTAAGAATGATGACTTATGGAATCGAAAAAAGGTATCTTTTGGGGGTGGGGAACAACAGGAGGATTTGGGTTTTTATTATTATTATTATTATTATTATTATTATTATTATTATTTTTTTTATTTTTTTTTTTTTATAATTTATCAAACTATAATGTAAAAAATTTAGGTAAACAACTTTATTGAAGAAAAAAAGTAGCGTAGTAAATAGTTACATGCATAAAAATGATTTTTAACATAGCGTACATTCTCTTCACATGTATATCTTGAAAAAAAGTTTATAGTGTGGATATTTTCAATATTTTTATTTCTACTTGGTAAAAAAAAAACCCTTGAATAAATTCACAAAAGGCATGCTCCACAATTTGATTAATAAGGTGGGGGACAAGATAATATACAATTAAAAGCACTAAACATATTCTTGCAATCTTAATGGATATGCACTCATGATGTGTAATGTGTTTGCCTTTTCTTGAAATCGCGTTATTTGTTTATTTTAATAAGACAACAAGAATATAATAATCTGCAAATTTTGACCCTTTTTGTGTAATCGTGTGAAAGTTCATAAATTAATATATAGCATAGAAAAATCATACCTACAAGATTTTTCTTGAATATTTCAAAACACTATTTAAATTCGTTACCTACTTATGTTTCTTTATTTAAAATCTTTATTAGTACCCGGTTTACCGAAGTAAATTTTAGTAATGGGTTTTTAATTTCTTGTTTGGTATTTATTTAAAAAAAAAGTTATTTTCTGTTTTGTAGTTGTGAAGAAAGCTACTTTTAAATGTTATAATAGTTGTTTTCTTTTATAGCACTCATTAGGGATCCCACAAAATCTTGTTTGGTACCCTGATTGATGTACGTATATTACGACATTTTACCTAAATAAATATTGTCATGTTTTTTACTACCAAAATTCACATTAAAAAATGACAATTGAGATAAATGTAACATTAAGATAAATTATAAAGTTACCAATCTCCCACGTTAATAAATTGATTATCGATTATATATCTTCAAATCACACTATTTACTTTGAAAACACACATCTAATAGCATCATATTTCCATTTCTTTCTTTTATATGTACTTTCATATTTTTTTTCTTATCAATTCATTTTACTTTTTAATAATCTACCCAATTAGAGCATCATATTTTCATTTTTATTTCCTTATTAGGATATTGTATTTTGAAACCTTTATAGCAATGAAAATTTACTTTATATTTGGATGACATTGCTATAGTAAGAAGAAATGTAAATAGGATGCTATAATAAACAAATGAATGAAAGTACATTGCGATTTCTTTTTGCATTTAACTCATAGATTTTGATATCTTATCCGTATAATATACAGGTTTCTTGCATTTAAAAGATCCTCTTGAGTCATCTTCAAGCTCAAAGTCTTTGGTTCCCGAAATCACAACACTTCTTAACCAAAGTTTCACAACAACAAAAGGCAAGAAACATGAGAATGATCCAACAATTAAATTTATCAAAGAACTACAAAGTGATTTAGAAGTTGTGTATGTTGGTCAAATGTGTTTGTCTTGGGAAATCCTCCATTGGCAATATGAAAAGGCTTTGGAAATATGGGAATCCGATCCTCATGGGATTCGGCGTTTTAATGACATGGCGGATGAATTCCAACAATTTCAAGTGTTGATCCAAAGATTTGTTGAAGATGAATCGTTTCAAGGTCCAAGAATCCAAAATTATGTCAAGAATCGATGCGTTTTTTCGTAATCTCCTACAAGTTCCTGTGATTAGAGGTGAGAAAATAAGGGCGTGTTTAGTTTGTTGATTGGACGGAATATGACGGAATATGACGGAATCGGAATTCAAGATTCCATTCCATGGTGTATATGGAATCGGAATTCAAGATTCAAGATTCCATTACATAGAGTGTATGGTTCATGGATTTTGACGGGATCCCTAGGAATTGGAATTCGAGATTCCATTCCATGGTGTATACGGTTTGTGGATTCTCGTGGAATCCAACGGAACTGGAATCTCGGATTCCATTCCATTGGGTGCTTGGTTCATGAATTCCGATGGAACCCGATGGAATTCGAATTCAAGATTTCATTCCATGGTGTGTTTGGTTCCCGAATCGACGGAATTCAATTCTATCATATTCCAAATTTGATGGATTTCACTATTTCTAGGGACGGGTGGAGGGATATTTTTTTCCGTTCTTCTTTTCTTGTCAAAAGACCAAAATACCCTCGTCCTATATATATTGAAATAAATAAAAACGTGTAAAACCTAATTCTTGAAAGATTCAGTTCCTTCCAAAAACATTATGCCAACTAAAGACTTTGACAAACAACTTTTCACAAAATTTGGAATTTAACTTCTTTTACTCATAAATTACTTGCAGAAGATCATTCAAAGAACAAAAAGGCCAAAAGTGATGTGTTCTATGATATTACAAGTGACACACTTGTTGAAATTCTAGAAGAATCAATACGAATATTTTGGCGATTTGTTCGTGCTGACAAATATAAAAGACAAACGCCCATAGAGTTTCAAAAACCCGAGGATTCCCAACTTTTCACTGATCTCCAGAAAGATTTGCATAAGGTTAGATTTTTGCCATATTTACTTTGAAACAAACTTTTTAACGAACAATTTAATGCTTTGTAGTGAGAATGAAAACCCACATGAAATTTCGAATTGAAGTCGAATCTTTTTGACATTTTATGATTTGTTTTTGAATTTGTAGAAGGAAAGAAAGCTAAAAGAACTATTGAGAAGTGGGAATTGCATACTAAAGAAGTTGAGAAGATGTAAAGAAGAAGAAGAGATCGAAGATCAAGTTCTTTACTTCTTTTGTCAAGTAGATATGAAATTAGTGTCGAGGGTGCTACAAATGTCTAGATTAACAAGTGATCAATTAATATGGTGTCATAATAAACTAAGTAAAGTTAGTTTTGTGAACAGGAAGATTCATGTAGAACCTTCATTTTTGCTATTTCCTTGCTAATTTTTAGGCCTAATCTTAACACCCTTGATGGTGTATTTTGTTTTATTATTTTTATATTTTACATTTTCAGGCAATGTTTTTGGTATTAATGTTGTTACTTTTGCTTTTCCCATCGTGTTACCGATTTTTTTAACACTTAATAAATTGCATGCCAGCTGAATAATGCTCACTAGTTGAAGCTTCCTTCGAATTCACAACAAACAATGAGTATTAGTTTATGAAATAAAAAAAAGTTTGTCAGCAATGTTTCACTTCGAACACAATTTGATGAGTTATTAAGGTTGTTACTTTTGCTTCTCCATTTGTGTTAGTGTTGTTTTTTCTTCTTATTATTAGTTTAATGTGTTTGTTTTTTCAGAAGCAAAATGTTTGCAGTCTGATGATCGTATTTGCAGTAGAAAATGTGGACCAAACATCTGTAGTGGTCATCAAAAAAAGACTGTTTGTTTGTCTTTTTTTTGAAACAATCAATGACATTAAAAAGAAAACGAAACCTAGCAAAGAGCTAGGAAAAGAACCAATTACACATTGCTTAGGGGGTTTTGTAACCAAGAACCCCGATTAATAGAACACAATCTATTCCAATTAGAAAACCATTGAAAAGAAAAAATCACTTATCGCATAAAAAATCCCAGCTTTTCTAATCTTTCTTCCGGCAAAGACTTTGTTGTTTCTAATCTTCCACAAATAACAAACGGTAGTACATACGATTGCATCTATGAGATTCTTCTTATTTCCATTACATTTTAGATTATCAACCTTCAAAAACAGTTCGTGTAATGAAAAGAACCCCATGAGATCCACTTCCATCCACTTAATGATTCATTACATAAAAATCGCCACCTCCATTTTTTAAGTAACAAAAAATTAAAATCCGTAAGACTGCCAATGTCTAACCCTCTACTTTTTTTACTTGCAAGGATCATATTCCACTTCACCCATACCATCTTCCTCTTATCTTCATTTCCACCCCAAGAAAACACGACCTTATGGATTCGAGATCTTTAGAAACTTTAACAGACAATAAAAAACCGACATAAAATACAAACCAAATGAACCCAAAACAGATTTAACTAACGTTAACCGACCACCAAGAGATAACATATCCACTTTCCACTTAGATAATTTTTTCTGTAGTTTTTCCTTGATCGGATTCCACCCAACAACCCTCGACATATTTTGACCAACAGGTAACCCAACATAAGAGAAATGAAGTTTATCAAGGCAACATCCCACCACTCTAGCAAAGTCGACCACCTTTTCCCAACTAACACCAATCCCCAATAAATTTGATTTATTCAAACTAATCTTCAAACCTGACACTAAGTAAAAAAATGTAAAATATTAACCATGTTTATAACATTTTCCTTTCCCCATTCACCAAGAATGAATGTAAAATATTAACCATGTTTATAACATTTTCCTTTCCCCATTCACCAAGAATGATCACATCATCTGCTAGATATTCTCTTGTGATTACTACCAATATTCACTCCAAAAAATAAATTCTTGGCATTTGCATCTTCAATAGCAATATGTAACCCCTCCTTTACTAAAATAAACAAGAAATGAGACAAAAGGATCTCCTTGCCTAAGACCTCTCCGCAGGACTACCATTTACTAGAACAGAAGCTCTAGTCGACACCAAGCAAGCATGTATCCAAGATCGCCACTGAGAACCAAAATTAAGAAAACACATCATACGATCCAAAAACTCCCAACTAACTGAATTGCATGCCTTTTCAAAGTCAATCTTGAGCAACATCATCTTTTTCTTTTTCTTTTTATACCATTCAACTATCTCGTTTACCATTAGCGGGCCATCCATAATTTGACGTTTTTTTTTACAAAAGCCGATTGTTCCATACTAATCACCGAATCTATAACAGAAGCAATCCATAAAGCTAAAATCTTAGCAATAATCTTATACTTAATTATGATAAGACTGATCGGACGGAAATCGGTAACCACCATTGGATTACCGGTTTTAGGAATCAATGTAATGAACGAGGAATTACAACCTGGCACAATTCTAGCATTGACGAATAAATCTTTCACAGAATCAAAAATATCAATCTTAAGAAGATCCCAAAAACGTTTAATAAATGCGAAACTGAAACCATCTGGACCGGCCTTTTCACTACCACAACACCACACCGTCTGCTTAACTTCCTCTGCCGAACGAGGAACCTCCAAAATGATAGCTTGATCTTCAACCAAACCCTTAAAACAATGGCTTCTACCAAGAACATGGATGACTGTCTTTTTTTTTTTTTTTTTTTTTTTTTTTTGTTTTGTTTTTTTTTTTTTTTTTATTTTTACAGTAGACTTATTTGTAACCCATTGCTCGTCATCTTTAACTCCTAGTATTTGGAGTTGTCTTCCTATTCTCTTCAATATCTCATGATAATATTTAGAATTTCGTTCCCTTTTATACTCAATGTAATTTTCGACTTTTGCAATAAATCACTAATTTCTCCAAACACAACTTAATTCTAGGGGTGAACATGGTTCGGTTTGATTCAGTTTTTGACTAAAGCCGACGCTGATCTGATAGTTTCGGTTTTTTATTTTAGAGAAAACAAACCGTTGGTTTTTTTTTTTATTTCGGTTTTTCCGTTAACAAATAACATAAATACAACTTTTGGTGGGCATCAACAAATAGTTCACATACATCTTTATGAACTATTCGAAAGACCTTTTAATTTATAATGAAACATCTATCATATCATCATATGAAACATCTTTCATATGTAACTAGACAACTTTGCAAGTTGTGTACCTTTCTTATACTTTCTTTCTTTTTTACGATTACTTATAACCTCAACAAAAATGAAACAGCTTTATACAAGTATTACACAACATATGTTCAATTTATATACATATAATGTGCTTATAAGTATTTTATTCAAGTATAATATAAAAATAATTTGGATATCATAAATACTTTAATGCATGAATTCAAATGAATGTTTGACAAAAAACATCGTTGTAATTTTTTGAAGAACATCACACTAACATTTTCATGAAAAACATCACAATCAAATCCATCGTCAAAGTAGACTAAAACATATATATTTGCTAGTTCGGTTCGTTTCGGTTTTTATATTTAAACAAACCAAACCGAACCGAAAAAATTGGTTTTTATAAATAGCAAAAACCAAACTGTTGTTTTTTCAAACGGTTCGTTTTTCGGTATTGGTTTTTTTGGTTTTTTCGGTTTTTGGTTTGGTTTCAATTATTTTGCACACCCCTACTTAATTCTAATTTCACACCTCTCGTCTACAATATTTTGATCCACAACTCCTTCATCAACTATTTTATCAAGAGCGCATAGCCGACTAATTAGACCATTTTTGCACCCCAACTTTTTTTTTCCATTTCAATTCACCACCATTTTTTAATATTTGATTTAAGAACTTTTAATTTGTTCTTAAATTGTATACAAGGAACATCAACCCCTTGCACCAAGCTATCACACCAGGAGGCCCGAATAATATTATCAAAATCTGGCTGTGGCATCCAAGAATCGAAGAACTTGAAAGGTCTAGGACCGTAATCAATCGATCCCGCAGACAAGAAAATGGGTCTATGATCTGAGATTGTAAGATCCAAAGCAGTCACCATTAAAATGGGAAAGTGAAAATAAACTTGTTTTGAAACCAAAAATCGATCTAACTTACTAAGCTTGGCACCATTAGAGCTTACTCTAGTAAAAGCGTATCCACCCATCGCTACTTCTGAAAGGTCAATGTTTATAATAAAAGAATTGAAAGAATCAACAATATGTTGGGAAAACACACACCCAAGCTTCTCAATCAAAAAAAGCCATTTAGAACCGATCCACTCCCCTTCTACAATCAAAACACTTTCGTTACTAAAATTTGTTTTTTTGGAAAAAACTACGGGATCGACATTGATAAAGCGCACCCCCCCCGATAACCCACGGGATACACATTCTAGTTTCATGCTGTTATATATATATATATATATATATATATATATATATATATATATATATATATATATATATATATATATATATATATATATATATATATTTGTATTATTTATGTTTGTATTGTTATAATTTTATTGTGTGGCCCATGTATAGTTTGCCCATATTCATAGCCCTTAACTTATTTGTATTATATAATTGGCCAATGCAATTATCGAAGATATGGGAAATCATTTGTTAACATGGTATCAGGCCAATAGAAACCCTATCAGTTTCCCTCCTTGTCTCGATCCTTTTCTTTGTCGACATTCCTCCCTGTCGACACCTTCTTTTCCAATTCTTCACTAAAATTCTTTTTTCTTCTCCCACCGATATATCCACTCCCATTGACAAGTTGTACGAAATCACCAACATAAAGTTGTATGTCTATTGATTATCAATCTCGACAAATTAAACTACGATGCATGGCGAGATTTCTTCAAAAATCATTGTGTGGAAAACAAGGTTTATGGACATCTCGATGGTCCCTCTCATAAACCCAGTGATGCCGATTGGTGCATTGCAGATTCCATTGTTAAACAATGGCTTTATGGTACACTAACTCAACCACTCATTCAATCTATCTTGATTCTTGATGCTACTGCAACCCAATTATGGATGTAACATCCCAAAATTCAAGAATAAAAATTTCATTATAATCAAAACACTATTGTAACTTTGACCAAACATTGAAAAGCATTTCAAATAAAACAATTATCAGAGTTCATTCCCAAAGATCACATATTGCGGAAAACACGTGTGTATGCGTTGCGATCGTCCCGAACTCCTTCATTTGAAAACTAGAGTACTTGAATCATAAACTGAAAACCGTAAACACAAAGGTTAGTGAGTTCCCCAAATACCACATACCAAACATATCAAACGAGCCATACATGTCATACATAACCGTGAGCGATACATATAATTCATATACCATAATCAATAAAGGTGATATGTGTCATCCATAGTCTTGCCATTCTGCCACGAGTCGCCTCGTGGTCTTCTTTGCC